CCCCCCCCCCAGAATATTTTGCCTAAGACAGGCAGGACTTGGAGCAACATGGACCCTGAGTTCAACTAAGGGGACCCTTCTCTACATTTTATTTACATTTCTCTTCAACTTGGCTTTTGTGCTCCTAGGCTTTTGTGCTCCTAGGCTGCCACAGTTAGGCTGTCTCCCTGAAACTAGTTCGGGTCACAAGGCTTTCTGTTGGTGATCATCCCTAAAAAGCTGGTGGTGTCTGCTTTTCACTGCAGGGTAAAATGACTTACCATGGACTTTCCTGAGTCCCAGGACCAGGATGAGAACCCCACTCCCTGCTCAATTTCTACTACACAAATGTAGATTGTACTGGGTATATCGATTGGGGTCCAGTTAAAACAAAAACCTCGATAGGTATTTCAGCAGAGAGTATGCAGTACTACAAGGAATTGGTTAGACAGATGTTAGAGCAAACGGGAGCATTAAACCCAAAGATGACAACTGCAGGAAATGGCAGCACCCCCAAAGCTGGGAAACAGGTGGGAAGTTTGGTTACGAGAAAGGAGGAATTTGAAAGCTCGAGTCAACTGCCACTCCTGGGGCAGCACTGATAGGAACAGCAAAAGTCCCTTTTCCCCTTTCCTCCTATTACCTCTTATTAATAAGTTTAATAGGAAGCTTACTGACAAAGGAGTATGGGAAAGTGTTGTGTTTTTTAAAATACGTGTTTATTGATTTGAGAGAGAGAGAAACATCAATCAGCCACCTCCCACGGAGCCTGCAACCCAGCCACCTCTCGGTGCATGGGACAGCGCTCACCCACTTGAGCCAGTTCAGCCGGGCTAGGAAAGTGCTTATGTCACAGCAGAATTTAGAAGGCCAAGCTTGGACTTGAGAGACAAGAAGCGGGTGGCGCAAACCACACCAGAGATATTTTTCTCTAATGGGTTCTAGGACTAAGATATCTTCACATTTCTAAGGCAAAAACCTGGAAAGCTCCCATCCTGACAAGATGGAGGGGTAATGTGTGTGTGAAAATGATGCTTAAACATGCTCAGAAGAGGTAAAACCTCTTTAAAGAGCTATGGAAGATGCCCGGCCGGGTGTGGCTCAGCGGCTGAGCGTCAACCTAGGATCCAGGCGGTCGGGGTCCGATTCCCGGTCAGAGCACATGCCCAGGTTGTGGGTTTGATCCCCAGTTGGGGACGTGCAGGAGGTGGCCGATCAATGACTCATCATTGATGTTTCTATCTCTCTTCTCCTCCTTTCCTCTCTCTGAAGTCAATAAAGATATACTGAAAAAGATTTTAAAAAAAAAGATCTATGGAAGAAAATTGTAGAGAACCTGCAGAAAGTCCCCCTAATTGTTCAGTTTTTATTGCCCTGATTATACCTTAGCATCCCCATCTTGACCAGAGCTGATGATTCAGAGTAAGGTTTGTGTGCCCCACCCCACACAGATTAACAATCACCTAAAACAATCATTGTCCTGAGTCCCTACAAACTTTCCAATTCCTCACCTACAGGGAAGAAAAGAAC